GTATTCTAGAAATTGTAATTTTTTTTTGACTTATTCTTTCTCTGTATATAAACAAACCATTTATACTATACAAAAAATTCGAACTTTGTAGGTATTTTTTATGAAATTAAGTGCATGTAAACATTCTAGAAGATAAAGAATATATAATAGATTTTAATTGCAAAATTGTTTTACTAATACAATTATTATTCGCAATGATTCGCCATGATTTGCCATGATTTGCAATGATTCGCCATGATTCGCCATGATTTGCCATATGTTCATTAATCAAAATTTACACGCAAAGTACTGTACTTCAGTTGAAGAGACTGTGTCGTTGTATTGTCGTTGTGGAAGATATCATTGTTTTTCTGTTTTGCAAAGTGTTTAATTCTGGCAATTGTTTCACTCCTGTAACAGAAATCCACCAGTCACTTAATTATAGAAACCAAAGCTGAAAATGATGAATTTCCAAAGAGAATACCATCCATATCTCATTCAATTACAAAAGCATTTTAGATGTATTTCTATACATTACTTGTCTGTCTTGGATTTTAGTTGTAAACAGGAAAATCTAAAAAAAAATTATCTACATTTTGCAGGTTTTCAGATATATCAGTAACAAAAAGCTAAAATTATTGCCCAGTAGTGTTTATAATAGCAATAGTTGAAAACCCGGTAAAATATAAATCACTATGGGGAAAAATTCAAACCTTTTTAGTTCACAGAGAACATGCCTCCAGTGAATTAAAAAAACCCTCCAGTAGAATTTTGCTCTTTGTAAGAACTTAAATCCTCCCTATTTTGAAATGCAATTTAATCCAGTGAAATAGAAAACCCTCCGGTAGAATTTATATTTTGGTAAAAATTTAAAAGCTCTCCAGTAGAAATAATTTTCTCTCCACTGGATTTAGAACCCTCCGGTACTCTCCAGTAGTCTCCAATTATTAATGAAAACTTCAGTCTCTCGAAATCCACTAGTCACTTAATTATAGAAACCACAGCTGAAAATGATGAATTTCCAAAGAGAATACCATCCATATCTCATTCAGTCTTGACCAGACAAAGTTTGTATAGGTACCGTTCTGAATCAGACAAGTCAATAGCAAGTAAGACGACGTTTCCTTCAAGCAAAACTGAAAAGAAGGGAGGTGAGGGGGTGGTGTGATTTTCGGGTTTAGACATACTAGCACTGTAATGAAATTTTATCTAAAGTTTATCTAAACCATCTTGTACACGGTATATGAGGTATATCCCGTGGATTGGATTTTAATGGTTTGAATTCAAGGCCTTGAGCAAGGATTAATATAACCATCATCACTGCAAGTTTGTGTACCCAATACCCATCTATTTATCTCATCCAATACACCAACAACAAAATAAAGAAAATTTTCATGTAGAGAAAATAAAACTGTTATAGAATTTATTATATATTATTAAAGTTACACATTTTTCACTAATAAGATGCAAAAAAGAAATATGAAAGCCGCCCTTATAAATAAGTAACTAAAAAAATACAAGATTAAAAAATCACTATATGGGTTTCGTATTTATAATATTTATTAACTTTTTTTTCTATGTTCCCATTTATTAAGTAATTATATAACCAGTAACTGCTACCCCCGGCATGGATAAATTGAATTATAAATATAATCTCGACCATAATGTTTGTAATCGTAACCCACCAACCCATCCCTTCATATATAAGATCAAGATTTTAATTTTATTGTAACAGTAATCTCAAATTGATGTAACCTCAAGTGATAAAAAGGGAAGGTTCCCTTTAAACCACTTTTTTTGAGTGACAATGAGAAAGCCTAAACATTGGATAATCTTTATCTAAATACCAGGAAAAGTTTGTTTTCCTTTATTGTCTCTGACGCATAAATGCGCAAGTCTCCATTTAGTAAAAATAATTAATTTTCGACTTGACAAATGTGGATACCTCATAAATCATTATCCTCGTTTATAATCGGACATGCTCCCCTCTAAATATCTGAGGGGTCACTTGAAATTTCGTCAAAGCTCTATTTAATTATTTTTGGTAATTTTCCAAAATATTGAATTTTTAAAACAAATTATATTATGGAACTTCAAGGCTGACAGAAAAGATTGTGAATAAAATAGAGTTTTATGTTATTGTAGATTTACAGACAGAACCCATATAGGTCTTAATTATATTATGATTCTTCAAATATTCAGAGAATATTTTGAATTTGAATAAATATCCAATACATGACCTTTTTGATAATTCATTATATATGCATAAGTATCCTTACTTCGTTCCATTTGAATTGTAAAGTCACTTTATCATTTTCAAGATGATTTTAACCCTGCAGAACAGTAGGATGATGAGGAGAGAACAGTGTTAAATTTATTCAGTTGTGAAATGCGGGAGTGATATTAAAGAAATCGTGAAAATAAAAAAAAAAATCCGGTAAAATTATTGTGAGGGAAAATGGAGAACGGGTGGTATAATGCACCAAGTAAACCAAGGCAAGGAAGAAGTGCTGAACGATTTTATTACGACTCAAGGATCCAAGGTATAAAGTTAAATGATTTGCATTCTGTTGATTCGATTTTCGACTTTTACCTATAATTGCTTTCAGGCCAATTTGAAAAACAGATATATACAGGGTGAGTCAAAAAAAGTATGATTTGCGCCGCCTGGTGCAAAATTTTACCCTCTTTTGTGCAACTCTCCTATATGGGGCTTTTTCAATATTTTTAAAATTTTTAAAATAAAAAAAAGATTTTTTTGTATTCCAATGGCTCAATTAATCCGCTAACATTTTTTTCTCTCTAAATCAAAAGTTCAGAAAAGCAAAAATGTGTATATAAATTGTATCTATCAAAATCTAAAATTTCATAAAGATTGAATAACAGAATCACGGAAAACTCGCAAAATTGTAAAAAGAAAATTAGCAATTTTCAGTTCTGATCTAATCTTTAAGGTAAAGTTATTTTAATTCTCTAGTTCCTTTCTTCTTAGTATGTTCTAAAGTTTTAAATCTACGCTGTTCGGTTGAAACCAGAAGAGTCATTGAAAAACAGCTTTTCCTTAAAAATTAGGCTAGAACTAAAAAGTGCAAATTTTCTCATTACAATTTTGCGAATTTTATGTGATTTCGTGATTCAATCTTTATAAAATTTTAGATTTTGATTGACACATTTTTGCTTTTCTTAATTTTTGATTTTGAGAGAAAAAACAGGTTCGCGGTTTTTTTTGGGCAATTGGACCACTAAAAAAAAAATAGTGAGACAAATATTGAGAAAAAAACACCTTATAGGACAGTTGCACAAAAAAGGGTACAATTGCACCATGCGCCACAAATCATACTTTTTTTTGACTCACCCTTTATATATAGATATATAATATATAAGCAAATGCTTTTAAAATTGTTTATCTTAAACATTTTCTTTTCTTATACTACACCAATTTAGATTCTGGCAGAAGATATAAGCTTGAAATGATCCAAAAACGATCCAAAAACAATCCAAAAATGATCCCAAAACTATTCAAAAACGATCCAAAACTATTCAAAAACGATCCTCAAACTATCCAAAAACGATCCAAAACAATCTAAAAACGACCCAAAAACGATCCAAAACGATCCAAAACGATCCAAAAACGATCCAAAAACTATCCGAAAAATACCTAAAAACTATCAAAAACGATCCAAAAACGATCCAACAACTATCCAAAAACTATCCAAAAACGATCCAAAAACTGCCCAAAAACGATCCAAAAACGTTCAAAAACCAACGTGATGTAATGATCGTATTTGGACCGTTTTTGCTTTTTTTTTACATATTGCATAATTGAATAATTTTTTTCTTCTAAAAACGATCCCAAACGATTGATAACCTGAATAGACAAAACCTGATTATAATGAAAAAAATATAAAGTTTATAAAACTCTTATTTTCTAACAGGTGATTGGGAGTCGGTAGAGCAGGACTTGTATGGATATAACTCTGGAGTATATGATCGGATTAACCCTGGTTGGTCGGGGGGGCGCCAGGAGATGAAGTGGGGACCAGCAGAGGTTATCCCTAGCTGGAGTTCACCCGACATCACGTATCAAAGGGTGGGGAGAGAAGTTCTTTATAATCCTTGGTTTCCAAAACAGGTACAAAATCTAAAAATTTTACAATTAAAACTTCTAGGCCTTCATTATTATTCTTCAGATTTTAAATCTAAAAAATTGAATTGCAGTTTTATCTATAACTCTCTGAAGTGATCGGCTTTGCCGTGGAATTTATTTAAAATCGAATTTTTAAAAAAATGTTGAATTTTTATTAGCCTCTGTTACCCCTTGGGTACTCAATTAAGGATTCTCTTAAACAAATTTCAGCCCATTCGGTCCAGACAATAGGCCAGCTATTAGCTGACATATAAATATATATACATACAAATATATATATATATATATGTGAGCAAAGAGCCTTATTATATTTTATGGATGGAAAGGAACTGCTCTGATAAAAATCAGATCAAAAAATAATTGATTGTTTTCCTTCGCCCGGTTTCTTGCTCTGCTGCTGGCTCTGAGTTGAGGGATGTAATCCAGAGCAAAACTGGGGCAAACCTTTATTATGAGCAATATTAATAATAAATAACAAACCTTTATTATTAGTAATATTAGTACTAAAAAATTCACCATTATTATAAGGAATATTAATAATTAATATATTGAAAGCAGTATTAGTAATTGAAAATATCCCTTTATAATGAGCAATATCAGAAATACATAATNAATTTTATTATCAATTTTATTATCAATTTTATTATCAATTTTATTAGCGTAAAATTAAAATGACGGTTTATACTTCTATGATCTATCATGATTCATCTAATCATTTATTTTCCGATTTGAAAATAATTACAGGCTGGCCTAGTTTCATTAAATTTCCGCATTTATAAAAAAGTTTAAAATTCTAGCAAGCCAGCTATAGCTCCTAGCTACTCGAAATAATTGAACTTGCAAATTTAAATTTTTGCTTTTTAAAAAGTCAAAGATGCGTGCAGTGTTCGTGTGCCCTTGAATAACAAGTTTGATAAAAATGTTGTGAAGCCTATTATTAAAAATATTTGCCTGTCATTAATATTTATTTTGTTTAACTTTTTACCCGGCGTATGGTCGCACTGAATAACCATTGTAATTAAAGCCTACATCTTTGTTTGGTCAGATCTGCAAACTACATATTTTGTCCCGGGGGGGGGGGGGGGGGGGGGGGCTGAGAAGGGATATAGGTGCTAATTACAAAAAAGGATTTATCCCTCATAACTCTAATTTTTTAATCCTTCATATTTGCAATTCGATGGTGTTTGTAAACATGTGATATTTCAAATTTTGATTTAAAAGAACTCATCAAGCCAAAGAGCTAAAAGAACATGTTTGATTCTAATATCCTGTTATTAAAGATTAATTATATTTATAGGTTTGGAAATTGCATAAAACTCCAAATTCTCTAATTCCTGCATATGCAACCAGAGACCGAATTTAAAAAATTTGAGCGGCGGCTTAAATTTAAACCGCGGCTCAAATATGGTTGGTTTCGCTTAAAACTGTATTCAATGATTTAAGATGTAAGCCGGCGCTCAATTGAAACCGGTTTTTGGCGGATTTAAGACGCGGCTTAAATTCATAAATTCGGACACAGATGGTCTAACTAACCCTGCATGTGATATTTGAGATAGTAACTATTTGATCTAAAAGAATTAATATATGAAGTTTTTAGACTTTTGAGAGGTTCCACAAAGTCTGAGGTGTAATTTGTAAATCCTATGTCCGAATTTAATGAATTTAAGCCGCGTCTCATATCCCCCTAAACCGGTTTCAATTGAGCGCCGGCTTAAAATTTGAAAAATTCAATTCAAATTTAAGTGCAACCACCAAAATTTGAGCCGCAGCTTAAATTTAAACCGCAGCTAAAATTCTTTAAATTCGGCCTTATAGTTAAAATTTGATATTAGACAAGATTGCTCTAATTACATCTGACCTAAGATATTCCCAAACCAATAAATATTTCTGTAACAATAAATAGCAAAAATTCTTAATTTTTTAGGCCTCTTGCTAGAAGCAATTCCCAGGTCCATCTTCCCACCCTGACCAAACTAAACTTTCAATCCAGGAAAAACCAGTTTTTCTACAACAACAACAATAACAACAAACTTACACTGCCTAGACAAACAACCGTAAATCACAACAACAATAATATTACGAAGGTGAGTCTGTGAGAGGGAAACAAATTTATAAACTATAAAAAACTTCAGATTGAATTTTACCGTTTCTAGATATTGTTCCTGCTAATACACGTTTGCAATATTGAACTAAAGAAACGATCGTTCTGTCTATAACTGCGAACAAAATGTTCGGGCAGAAATATCACAATTGATAATATTTCTAACAATCTGGGATTTGTCCTTTATTATTGCAACCAAAATGTTCGTAAATACAAAATGTTTTTGGTTAAATTCTTTTTTCAATCAAAATGTGAGGGTTTTTCTAACATTGTAGCAACAATATAGAAATTTACTCTCTACCACAAATTAGTTAAGCTCTTTAAACTTGAAACCTGATGATGTAAACCTTTGATATTTCAAACTTAGACAATTGAATATAACAATTTCAGAGCTTGAATTCTCAGGTCTAACTCTATGGCATTGGGTTGCAAAGAAATAGGGATAAGAAAATAACTACATAAAAAAATTATTTCATTGTAATCATCTTTTTCTCTTTTACATACATATTTATTGATGACTAGCGAAAGGGCCCTGCGTTGCCCGTGGTTAAAATGTATATGTATGTCTAATCACTACCTGCTCTGTATAGATTGAGTTGACCGGAGCTGAGTCTGCAACTGAGATGAAACCACGAGGGTTGGGTCGGAGCAACTCACAGCTTCCAACCCTACCAACTGTTCAGAAGAAAATGTCATTTTTAAGGAAGAATCATAATATTCTAATCAAAGAATACTTTTTATTATTTTACATTATCAGACTATGCTCTTGTTCTTATTTTGTATCTAAAAATAACAAAAGGAATGTCAACGTAACATGATTATCCGTTTAAAGGCATTACAACAGTACCCTTGAATCTTTATTCTTGTTGATTTTTCCCTCTGAATTATCATAAATAAACACATTTAAACCTAGACATAACGAGAGCATATTCCATGTAATTGACCAGAAAAGGGTTCAAGGCTACCGTTGTGAATCTGACCTTTCCATCTTTGCGCGGAGGGTCACTTGAAATTACGCGTACAGTCCCTTTAATTGATGTTTGAATTAAATATATTCTCCAGGAGGTTGGGCTCCAGGGCAGGGATGTTCAAGGAGGCCAGGTTTAGTGTAGTGCAGGACGGAGGACGGAGGTTAATGGTAGAGGACGGGGACAAAGGACGAAGCCTGCTACTTGAGGACGGGAAAGGAGGACGTCCTCCTCCACCCTTCCCTCCACCTGGGAGAGAAGGGAGGATACTACCCTCAGTACATATTCAGGTATCTTGTAATATATTGTCTTTGGTCGACTCCTAACTAGTATCTTGTAATATATTGTTTATGAATGAGTTCTTCGGTGTATCTTGTAATATATTTTCTTTGGAAGTGTCTCTTAAGTGTATCTGATTATATATTATGAATGAGTCCTGACTAGTTTCTTGTAATATATTGTCTTTGAATGAATGAGTCCTGATTTATGTCTTGTAATATATTGTCTATGAATGAATGAGTCCAGAAGTATGTCTTGTTATATATATTGTCTATGAATGAATGAGTCCTGAAGTGTGTCTTGTAATATATTGTCTATGAATGAGTTCTGACTAGTATCTTGTAATATATTGTCTATTGTTGCAGGGGAAGGA